ACTGTGCACATGACCTTAGCACTAAAGTAATAAGAAGACTGAACCAAACTAGAAAACACAAACCTTGGTTCAGTTTTCTTGAAACTTTATAACGGTTCTTACAAAAGATCCTTCATGATGTGACCTATTTTCATTTTTATTTTAGCCATTATAATTAGTCATCGTCACTTCCTAATGAGTTTGTATTGAACTATTTTACCAAAAACATGCACCCAACCCGTGCTCCTTGAGGATCCCTTTTGTAATGCTGAATCACACTACAAAAACTATAACCAACATTTCTTTGAGTTGCTGAACTCGGAAAATGAACAATGAAAGGTGGTGCGTCCAATGAACTGAATTAATTTTAATCCATTGGTCATTGGGTCCACTCCCGGGTAATGTCGTTTGTGTTTTTTAACGACGAAGATGTTCATTTTTTGGAAAAAAGTCATCATAATCATTTTATGTTATTCCTAATTATGTAGTCCAAAATCATTATGACAAGAACAATTTGTTCGGTTAAATGTGCTAGTCCGTTGCACCCATTAATTAAATAACACTACTGTCGGACTTCTAGACAGATCTAGAAATTACAAACATTGCCACTAAAATAAATCACTTGGCGAATAAATCGTGTCACCTCCACCTCAACAAACTCGGTAACTAGCTATTTGCAGAAACAACGGTTGACTAAACGCAGTTCAACTTCAAAATGACTTCGGTACTACGGACTCCTTTAAGCCTACCATGGCTCGCAAGTATTCACTCGTCAGCGGATTTACTAGAAAGTTAACAGGGAGCGAAGGAAGAAGTGAAGGAGTGAATTTGTGCTTAACGCCTACAACTCGGAAATGACTACTTCACTTTTCGAGTTAAAAACCACGAATCTTGTGTCATTTTTTACCATAGATTTAGTACGAGCCTTCTGATTTCGTGATAATTAAACAACTTAACAAGGAACTGATCGGTACAGTTTTTCTTCCAGACCTTTCCATATCAAAACTTAATGTTATATTGTTATTTATATTAAGATGTCGCTGCATGTTTAATAATAATGTATTCTGTGGCACCTAAGCGCATTCTAACTTCATCCAAAACGCTGTCAAAAGTTATAAAATACTGATTTACAATTCTTAAGCTAGTTTGTGGATTGACTTTGTTTGCTTGCTGTTAAAATAAGTGGCTTCAGTTATTATGCGAAACTGTATATTTTCTGTTGTTGTATCCGACTTCAAAATGATTTGTTTCAATATATATTTAGCCCTCGGTCGTGTCTTTGACTATTTTTACAATAAAGGTCCTCGCTGGTATCTTAGCTTGGAAAACGGCATTCATTGGTTGAACACAACTATCACCGAATAGCTTTAGGGAAAACAAGTTACTTGTGCTGAACGTAAAATCTCTCTGCGTGGGGTAAAATTTGATCTTAATTGCTTTCTAGAGAAAAACACGACCGGTTTTGGGGGTTTGTAATTCGTTTTCCTTTGTCAAAGTTCAAATTATTCAAGCCCTAAATTAAACAGCTCTATCTCTCGTACGTGACTGTTTATAACAGGGAAATGAACTGAAAATTCGTTTTTAGGTCGAATTTGGAATTCTTTCTTCAAGTAGCCTATGTCGATGACTAAAAGAGTATTTTCTTCTTCTTTTCCATGACTGTTATTGATCAGACTACTAGATCGCCAGATTATTTAAATGAATTCGCTTTCGGGCGTTATTGATTTCCTTTCATTCAAGCTGAAGATTTGTTGTCTCTGCAAAGGGGATTGCAGTTCGCATCGAAGAAAACTCTTTTTCCTTATAATGCGATATTTTGCCCTCGGCATCCAATAATAGAAATCGTGGAAGTGTCAAATGAATTTTCGAAGTTGTGCTTAACGAATTCAAAACCAGGACTTAACCTCGGTTTTTCTTGACTGAGTTTTGAGAATGCCGAAAATTGCTTGTGAAACAAAACCAGCTTTTAAACTTTAATTTAGCGAATGCTCAAGAGTAGATAAAACAAAAATTGGCCCTAACGGTATAGCAAGCAATTAAGCTGCTCGCTCACTCGCGCTTACTTACCGTTGATTTACAAAATCAGTAAAACAAAGCAAACGGGCTTGTAGCGCGAGACGAAAAGAACCTTAAACATCGCAACTCCGATGAAGGTGGACAGAAGCCACCGAAAATTCAGCACAGAACACAACAGATCGAATAAAAAAAAACCTTAGGGAATGTCTGTCACCGATCACAACACTGGAAGCAGAATTTTGGTTTCCTTCCAATCGTCATAATGTCTTTCTGGGTTTTTCAATACAATATCTTCAAAATTTTTAGGTATCTGGGATAGTGCATTTAAAATTCGAGAACTCGACACAAACACCTTTTCTAAAATGAAACCCGATTAGTTTCGAAAAACAGTGACAATGTCACAATTTTTTGCTTAACAAGGAAAGCACTTTTTAACCATACAGCTAACTCGATATGGTCAAAACCCCTTACAATGTACGAAAAAAAAAGCAATTCAGAAAACATTCTGAGATATGGCAGTACATTCTTAGAACTGGTAAATATGTCCACTTTGAATATGCATGTATATAGCGTTTCTGGAAAAAAAATCAAGACTTCACTTTAAGTAAAAGATTTTGCGAAAGTGCTCTTGTTCACAATGGAACAATAGTTGGATATGTGCAGTGCACTTAACAATGTACAAAAAATATAATTAAAAATACAGTTTGAGACATCGTCTTCAGTCAGCACTGCATTCTTAGACTGAATGAGAGAAACGTCGGCTTTTGCCGTCTCAAGGCAGAACCAATCCCTTATTAATCTATCTTTAATAAACGAACTTGGAAGCATAGACTTACCCTAATCTTCAAAATCCCAAAATTCCAGAAATTTTTATTTTGGTCCAATTTGCGTCAACGACCGACTCATTTAAGGACATTTTCAACAACAATACACGCCAGAAAATTCTAAGCACACGGTGAACTTCAAACGCGCTTTCCGGTCGTCTCTGTTCTTGTCAACACTTAGTTATTGCTCAGTTGTTAACCTGGTGTCTTAAAAGGTTTAGTGATCAATCAATTTAACCGATAGTAAAGCTTTTTAGGGAAAAGAAAAAATATTTTTTTGGTGCTACATGAAATTCTGGGACAATTTCTTTTAGTTGAGAATCCGGTGCTGAGAAACACAATAAAGCAAAAAGTAATACTGAAATAATGTTTTGTAGTAATTTCTTATTTTGTTTTGTTTTGATAGATATTCATATTCAGTTCTACATTCTAAATTGTGTACATCCCAGTCCATATAGAATAAATAATAAAAAAATTGACCACCTACTTTGCCACAAAGGAAACACTTTGATTTATTGAATTTCATTTCACTTGAGCAAAGTTTTAATTAAATGCTGGGGAAAAATAAAATCATATAACACCAGAACGCTTAGTTCGGAAAATGGAATTCAGAACTATTTAATTATTATTTAATATGTGAAATACATTTTAGCTGGAAAATACTCCTTTTAACTATTTTAATGAAACATTTAAGTTAGAAAAACACTGATATAAAAACGAAAACCGTTATTTAGTTCCGCTAACCAGTGTTTCTTTTGTTTTTTTTCGCAAGATGACAGACTCAGCAAAATGAGTCATATTGTAAAAGCGTGTTGTTTCCGATGGACATTCATTCATCAGTTGTTATATCGACAGCTCGTGTGCAAACAAGAGAGCCTTTTTCCACCAGGGAGTTAATTAGGCGCCAACATTTCTAACAAACAGGTTTATTTCATATTTTTGTCTTAGCTGACGGTGAACGGACGTACCTGTTAGACGCAAATGTATTACATGAAAGACTCGGACGAAACGTGCAACTATAAAGTAACAAACAGCTCAAAAACTATCTAAATTTAAGAATAAAAATAGTAACTAATGAAGTCTTTAATTTTACCAAACTCGAAGCCAAAGTTGAAAAAAATTATGCTGTTTTCCTTAGACTGGTTTTCACTTCATCTACTTTAGTATACTTTACTATTTGATAACGGTGCTAGATTTATAAAATGCTACAGAAAGTCATTCAAAGTTCAACCCTCAGTGAATCCGGAAATTTGGCTCGGTGGGACACTCGCCAATTGAGTGATGTCTCACACTGAAGTGGAAATATTAATTCTCCTTATTAAAAGTCACACTTCTCTTTCAAAGTGAATTATGAGAATTTGTTTATGCATCAAGACATTACGTCCAAGTTGATGAATCTCTTTTTTCTCACTACCTATCTGTTTGGCAGTGTATAGAAATTGCAAAGAGATTTGAGACACTTATCACTCTTTGGAATTAAGAGGTAAAACTCAATTTGCTATATTTTCAGGCGGAATAAATTAACTTATGCGGAACACTTCAAGTATAAGGTAATATTGTTGAGTGCATCTGCGGGTGGGACAAAATTGGATACATCACCGGTACCATTTCAGTAACCATCCCTTAACGGTTCCATTGGTTGCCTAAATTCTTAAAAAACGTAAAAAAGTGTGTTCTGTTTTTGTGCGGTAAAATCTAACCTTTCGAAAAAGAACGAACAATTTCTGAAGTGTTTGCATTTTACAAAGCTATTATTCAGAATTCGGAGATACTAAAAACTAAATTTAGTGTTAATGATCGGATTCAAGGAAAATACAAGGATTGTTGTTTTTCTATGCGCTGCACTTTCATCAGTGGCAGTTTAAAATTAAAAGATTATCCGGCAAAACGAGGCGGGAAAGCTTCATCATAACAAATTGCTCTTATAGACGCAAAAATCACAAAAAAATCTTTTTATTGATTGCTCAAGGCTTTATCGCGAACATTTAACTTACAAGCGCTATGCGACATAAGATGATCAGTTCAAGGCGATGGTTCATTGGAGTGATTAATGACCGGATAAACGTTTAAATGTTGACGTCGTTTACTCCCTCCGCCCACTGAAAGGAACTTGAAGCAGTGAATTAATAGTTTCTGGAGGAAGTGTTTGCCACAATCTTTCAAAGCGGCTTCCGACAACAC